GTTTTGCTTGGATAAGGGTGAAGTGGTCGAATCCTAATGCAATAAAGATTCTTTAAAAGTTAAGAATGCTTCAAATAAAAAAGATGCCAAGAATCAAGGGATTGAATCTAAGTGATTAAAAAGGTTGATTCAAAATCCTATGGGTGTTAGGATTGGTTGAAACCTAATCAGATTAGGATGAGGAATTCTAGTCCGAGTAAAATTTTAACTCGGTTATCAAGGAAATTGCTACTATAAATAGATAAGGTAGTGCATCTTTCTAACCCTCTCTAATTCAACACTTAACTGCCCTGCGCAAACTTCTCAAACACTTTGAGATTTTTATTTTCTTTTCTCCAGCCAATACATCTTCAGTTTGGATAAACAGCACTATGGATGCAACCGGTGACGTCTTCAGTTTGGATAAACAGCATTGAAGCTGTAGAATCAATCGACCGAGGAGCATCTTTAGTTTGGATAAATAGCACTGTTGCGAGACCGACTGATTATCTATCCAAGTCTTAGTCTTCGAGGATTTCCGAGTCCTTGTTGGAAGAGGTCATCTCATCAGCCTTCTCGGCGAAGTGAGGTGTTATCAGGCTTGGCACATTGAAAGCTGAGTTTATTTAATGATTGGATATTTGCAAGTACATTTTAGAGTTCGGCATTCAAATGGCCGGACCACATTTACAATCAAGACACTTATCTCTTTTGAGTATTTGTGTACGTACAGTCGGGTACTAGTTCAGCGTACTTATATTTGCACAAATATAATTAGTACGACCGAACCCAGTGCTGACGATTCGTGAACTTCGTACAAACTAGTAGTCTTGTCTTCAGGCTCTAAAACCCAAAGGCTGAAAGGAGTTCCTTCCTCGGCCGCAATCGCAAGATGTAGAAGTCAGCAGCTCACCCAACGCCACATCAACATACATTTTACTCCCCGGCCGAGCTCGATCGATGAGTTAGCACACCCCGCATTCGACCGAAGAACGTAGTTAGTTTATTAATTACTTGGCATGCGCGCCACATAGGTTAGGTAGTTTTTAAGATCAATATTTTGGCACACTCAATGGGACCCAGTGCTAATGTTATGAAGTTCATGACCATTAAGACACAGTCAATCAAAAAGAAAACAACTATGGGTAAATCGACTACCAGTTTAGCACTTATAGTTCAAAGTCAAGTCCACAATAACGCGTCGCAGGCACATGATCTTCATGTTGCCGTGACACCTGAAGCCACTGGCATAGTTGACCCAGAAACAGAAATTAATCTTGGTAGTCAGAACCATGATGTCGTGGTCTTCACCTAAACTACCAGGATGGCAAAAGATGGTTTTATCGAAGGCCTGGTATATGATTACGACGACGATGATGAAACCTCTAGTGTACTATCTAAATTTTTTTTTCAATGATGGTTGGAAGAACAATCTCAACAATTTGAGCAAATTTTTTGTCGAGAGATGAAAAGCGTACTTGAAACGGTGCATGAGAACAACTCGATGAATAATAAGTTGCTTGAAATTCTAGTTAACAAAGCTCACAAGAATGACCTCGTCGATCAACCCAAGCAACGCCTTTTTTCTTTTAAATGCTCCATTGAAAGGGAAAAGGTTGTCGTCGATACAGGCCGAGGTAGAACTCACTCGGCCCAGGATGATCGATCTTGAAAAACATACGGTGAGCCAAGCATCAGTTCGACCGAATTTGGCTGAAGAACATAAACAACATTCGTGGATATGGGTGAAGTCCAGAGAATGATCGATTCAGCCTTGAAAAAAAGGCCTAAATTCCCAAAGTGTATCCATCCATATCCGGCCTTTGTCGAAAGGTTTGAATATCCCCGAGGATTCAAGATCCCATATTTCAGTCTCTTCATTGGGGAATCAACCTTGTCCTCATTAGAACACGTGGCTAGATTTACTGTCCAACGTGGAGATGTCAACAGTGATTTCCATAAACTACATATGTTTAATTTCTCGTTGATGGGCACGGCGTTCACATGGTACACTAACCTTCTACCAAATTCTATTCAAAATTGGGATGAACTAGTTAAGAAATTTCATGAGCAATTTTATCGACCCGGAATAGAAGTGTTGGTATCTTCTTTGGCTATGATGGCTCAGTCATCTAATGAGTCCCCAATGGAATTTCTTACCAGGTTCAAATCGGCCAGGAATTGGTGCCGAGTACTTCTCCCTGATGTCAAAATTGTTAGGCTCGCTCAAAATGGCCTAGATGTGGAATACAAGAAGAAATTCTTTAGAGCAAACTTTCGAGATATGTATGAGCTGGCTCAACACGTCGACCAATATGATTATTTGCTTAAGGAAGAAAAAATATCGAACACCTCAACCCGTGGGATGATTTATAAGAATCCAACAATAAGTTATGCATCCACCGGGGGTGACGAAACCCAATACGTCAATATAGACGTGGCTGAGATAGTGATTGATTGATAAACCTTATGTATGCAAGACATTGGCTCACGCTAGTTCCAAAGACATTAAAACGCGTTCAGCCTCTATTGAAGCAGTCGTCAAAACATCAAAGGTATACACTTTTGACATCACCAAGGCTGATGCTATCTTTGACCAGCTATTACTCGCAAAGATCATTAAGCTTTAGCCATAACATGACATTCCTAAGGCCAAAGATTTAAAAGGGAAAACGTATTGCAAGTATCACAACTCAAATAAACACATGACAAATAACTGTATCGTGTTCCGTAATGCCATTCAAAGCTGGATCGACAATGGCAAACTAAAGTTCCCAGAGAAGACACAATTGTTGGTTGATGCTGATCTTTTTCCTTCGGCAACGGTGAACATGGTAAATGCCCATCTACCGAAGGATAAGAAAAAAGGAAAAGCTAAGTATATCCCAACATACCACGTCCTAAGACAAAATCCCCAGCCGCGTTTAAGGAATAATTTATCATCCCAAAACGACCCGCCTAGTTTTTTCTCGAATCCAGCCTATGTTGAGCTAGTATTTGACTCATGTTCAGATAAGTCTAAAAGCCCAATGATCTTGTGCAGTAAATGTCGATCGAAAGTCATCACAGCTAAGCCAAAACCATAAAAAACTTCGATCGAATCACCACAACCCGCACCAACGATTTTGGCATAATCTCAACCAATGATTGGCTAGGGTTAACATCAGCAAATGGTTTTTGACAAACTTGACCCTCAACCGCAAAATTACAAACCACCTTCAGTTAAATGACGACTTAATTTCAACGAGCCGTTTTATGATAAGGACTATTATGTACATAACTTTAGAAGTTCAAGTACATCCACGACCTAGTGTACCTTCAAACCACCTTAGCTACGCGACCACAGTTAGTATTGTTACAACTGCTTTACCAGTGCATATACCATTCTGTCTAAATCCCAAAAACATTGTCGACAAATGATGGATTGCATGGCCTGTCGGTAAGCGACTCAAGAAGTTTCGATCACAAAATGACAACCTAAAGAAATTGCAAAGAAAGAGGATGATTGACAAAATGACCGAGTTGTTTCAAGGGAAGAAAGTAATTGATCGCAATTTTGAAACCGAGATTGAAGAATCTGAGAAATGAATCAAACTTCTCCTTCTGCCTGGAGAAATGAAAGCTTGTATCGAGCATTTCAGGAAGAAGGCCAAGTGCAAACTTCCTCCATTATTACCACAAGAGCCATTGATTAAAGTCCCTAAGGAATCGCCATCCGCCACTTTTTGGTGAGGCTCTAAAATATACGCCAAAATTTCACAAGAAAAATTAAATAAACGACCTATACAGCCTCCCAAAAGCATGTCAGGAGTCTCTCAATTTAGTTTTGATCAGCTCTGATGCCGAACAAATTATCCAGAAATTGTCAAATTTAGGGATGAAAGCTAGATTCCAACATATTTGCGAAGTTAGTGTTCTCGGCTTCGACGTTGACCCATACACCTATTTAGACCATGTATACCTTTCATTCTCTCTAGATGGTTTGCAATACTTGCAACATCATTTTGAGGTTTTCTCGATCGTATCCTTACTTGGCCTCACGGCCAAAGAGATAGAGCGAGTTAAAAGGTTGGATGCTTATCTAGACACATGAGATGCTCACATCGCATATTAGGAGCGGGTTGCAGGGCTTTGCAAACACAAAACCAAGTTCCAGTGATAGGGGAACCAGTTGCTGAAGCTGAAGATAAAACAGCCACGCCAAGTACAACAGGTGCACATATTTTGCCTATGGTTAATGACGACGTAGTTAGTGTGACCAAAGATCAAGATATTCTGCCAAACAATCCAAAAGATCACGACCCAGTGAGGCCCTCGATCCTTGACAACATGAAAATTAGCATGGTCCATATCCTATCTACATAATTCCAACCAACTATGTCTCAACCAAGCTTTTTAGATGGTGATGTAGTTGCCGAAGAGACCACACAAGTCAACTTTGTGGCTATCGAAGAAGCCGAACCAATTAGTAAGGAGGACAAACTCCAAGTAGCCTTAGCTAAGTTATTTCCTCGTTTTTCAGTCGTCAACCTTCATCACCTGAAGCTGTTATACGTCACGGCTCATATTGAAGGATATCCGATATCCAAAGTCTTCGTTAGTTGTAGGGCAACAGTCAACATCATGCCTGTTTCTATAATGAAAACTCTGTGACGCTCTAAAGATGAACTCATTCCATCCAGCATGACCATGAGCAGCTTTGTTGGCGATAAATCTTAGACTAAAGGAGTCCTACCTTTGGAAGTAAATATTGTAGGTCAAACTCATATGACCACGTTTTTTATAATTGATTAAAAAATCGAGTACAATGCATTGTTCAGTCGTGACTGGATCCATCAGACTGGCTGTATTCCTTCGTCACTATACTAGGTCCTTATTTTATGGGACATCAAATTAGCTGTAGTTTATCCGGCCGATAACCAGCCGTTTGAAGCTAACATGATTCAAGCCCGTTATTATGACTAGGGGTGGTTCGGTATGGGATCCCAAACCGAAATTTTCAGGAATCCCAATTTGGAAAACCCAAAACGTAATCCTCCCCATCTCTTCAGGTGATTCTCTCTCTCTCTCTCTGCTCTTCTTTCTCCCCATTATTTATGCTTTATTCTGACTGTCATTTCCAGAATTATTTTTTTTGTAATTTAATTGTTGGAATTTAGGCATAATTAAGTGCATGGCAACTGTAAGTTGTTGAGTTGTGTAAAATCCATGTTTTGATTGTTGGGTTTTGTTGATATAGATGTTTTCTCGTGTGGGTTACTCTTGGATTTTGTTTCTGTCACTGTCTCTTGATTTTTGATTGTTGTCTTTTGTACACATATATACAGATACACACAACACGCTTCTAGTGTATGTTTTTTCACTCTCAATTTCTTCACTTAGTTACTCAAGGCTCACCGTACTTACTCGCAGCGGCCGGTTGATCGAAGAAAATATTTCTTGGGCTTCTTTTTAATTTCCCCATTTTACCTCTGCTGGCTGTCTATTTTTCTGATTTTCTGAATTTCTGAATTTCACTTGTATTGAAATTTCTTCATGATCTTGTTTTGAATACCGATGTTTTGATGCCATTTTCAAATTGCAAAGAAATCATGATTCCCAGAAGTGTTGGGTCAGCTTTTGGTGTCATTGTGTTTGGTTTTTGTTGTTCATGTACAAAAGAAATTTCGCCATCAATTTTTCACTTTTTCAAGGTGGTATAAATTTTTACATATTTTCTCCTTTTTTCTCATGACTTGGTTAAGCTTCCATTCTTGACAGATAAGCTTGTGGATTTTGATAATATTAGTACAGTCAGGATCATTTTTTTTCCATGTGGAAAGTAAGACTCATGACTCATGACGGTTACGGATGCTTTATATATGTCTTCATTTTGGTTCTCCGTTATGGTTCAGGATTGGCTTCACTGGCCTTTCCTTACTACTTGATCCGTTTTACATCACATTGTTTCGTTTCTTTTAAAAAATTCTTTTGTTTCAGTTCTTACTTGCTAATACTAATCACTTAGACACCACCCAAATATCCAAAAAGTTAAATAATATTTTTGCAAATGAATTTTCTAATGTGAAGTATTAGGTTATTAGTATCTGTTTATTAGGATTTTATATAAGTACCTTTTCCATATCTCACAAAGATTATGTATGTGCAGGCTTGAATTTCAGAAGGTGCTGAGCTTTGAGTGTAATGCATTCTATAAAGGGTAGTTGGGTTGGGCAGACATTCGCCCTAGCTAAAAATAATGAATCTGAAGGAAGGAGGTCCAGAATTCGGCGTTCAAAGGAAGAGAGGAAGGCAATGGTTGAATCCTTTATAAAAAAAGTAATAACATCATTGTTTTCATTGTTTATATTTTCTACTATTGTAACTTATGAAAAGAAGAAAAGAGAAATCACTAATCTTCTAAACAATGTAGTTCTGATGAAATCTACTAGGATTACGGGCACTAATCTTCTCCTTACTCTTTACTCAGGATAATTGAATAGAAATGTAGGATACTTTGTACATTTGTATATTTTTAAGGTATGGGCCGATTTTTAGTTCCCTGTTTCTAGCTTCTGGATAAGCTCTGTCAAAATCTTAATTAAGCTATGATTGTACTTATTTATACGATGATCAAGAATCATGTAACTATTGTGAGTACATAAATGGATATACAAAATATGTATAACCGTTTATATCCACTTATAGATTTTGACTAAATTTGAAGATTAATGCATTCTTGGATTCGTTGCCAGCCAAATTGATTGACATATGATTCTGAGATTTTTTTTTACTCACCTGAGAATACTAGAAAATTTATTCTGTGGAAGCACTCTTTTAAGAACATTTTACTTTTATTTTCTATATGTTTAGTTCACCTAAATGGAGAAACTTATAGTAAAGGATCTTCCTGTTTTGTAAGAATAAAACAGATACTTGTGTCAAACTTGTGATAATGTTTAGTTGGACCAACTTTTGATAGGCATATATGCAGGAGTACTCTTTCCTGTTAGAAGTTGATGGGAGCATTCGGATATGGTAGTGATATTGTGTGTTTTCTTGCAATTGACTTCCACATCCGTCTTACTTTACTGAATTTCTAGTTTCCATTTGTGAAATTCTTAAAAGCATGCAAGTTCAGCCTTTTTAATAATCTTGCTTACAGGTATCAGAAAATAAACAATGGGAGTTTTCCATCACTTAATCTGACCCACAAAGAAGTTGGTGGGTCTTTCTACACTGTACGAGAAATTGTTCGAGATATAATTCAGGAAAATAGAGTGCTTGGTCCTGCTAAGTTTACTGTAGAGGGCAGCAGCAGACCATTGATCAGTTTTGGGAACACAATCCATTGGGTACCATTGCTGCAGAACCACAAAATACTTTGTCAATATCATCAAATGAATTGCTGTTCGTCACCAATCAAAATCAGGGTGTAATTGAACAACTTGTTTTCGCTTCCGATGGGCATTTAGTTGCACCTGAACATCAGATGTTTGAGAATGGACGAATCATCAATGGTACTCAAGTAGAAGTGAATGACAAAGAATTTAATGAACCCAAAAGTACAGAGTTACAAGCAAATGGACCTGTGGAAATAGAGAAGCATGTTGCTGTTGAATCTATAGATTCTAATGGGCATTGTATTGGTCCTGAATATCAGAGTTTTGACAATGGACTAATCAATGGTAGCCAGATAGATAGGAAAGATAAAGAAAGGGAGGAACGAATGTGCACAGAACTGCAAACAGTTGAACCTTCGGAAGCAGAGAAGAATGCTGAAGACGTTCGGGCAACATCCAAGTCTAATGTGAATCCTTTAACAGCAGATGTGATAGTGGAGACATTCCCATTGAAGCCAGTAAATGCGACACCTGAGGGCTTGGATGGAAGGTTACAAGAAGTAACGGATTTGACTAAGTCTTCCAAGGACAAGGGAACTAGAGGGATGGAGTTAGCTGGTGTTGATAGTTTGCAAGTGGATAGATTATATATTCCATGAAGAGCATGGATGATAATGTAGCGATGAATCTTTCAAGTCCATTGGTTGAAAAACAAATCCAGCCCAGTGGATGAAGCACTAGGAAATGCCATAGATCCATCAGTTGAAAGCTCAAGTTACTCAACCTTTAATGAAGGTATTGTGCATGAAACAGGAAGCACAGACCTTAATGTCAAATCACCTCATAAAGATGTTCCAACCTCTGAGATCTCTAACCAAAACCAGCTGACCGCGGGAACTAAGGTAGTACCAAATTGGAACGTCGTGTGTAGATTTTTTCACCATTTTTCTCCTAATTACCCATCATATTTTTAAAACTGAAGTGTCAATATTGCCATGTATTTACATTTTCACAATTCATGATTAAAATGTGTGCTCAGTTTTCATATTGTGATATTATCTTTTTCAAGTATGGGTGTTATTATTGTTGGTTGGAAATGCTTTAACATTGTCTCGTAGATTGATAGTGATGGTAAAGATTTGATTACCCATACCATTGAGTGAAAACGCTTTTTTCCTTAACAATGTTGGGAAGAATGCTATACCTATTATTGTTCAAAACATGTCAGTGGAAATTTCAGATTTATTGACCAATAAACTTCAACTGTTGGTGCATATTTACAGGCTGACAAAGCTCCAGATAGCTTACATACAAAGATTACCAACGGTACCAGTGGTAGTAGTGAGCAATCGAAAACCAAAGAGGTGGTTGTGATTGAAGATGAAGTTGATGTCCAGACCAGCGGTAGCTTGAAGAAGGGAAGCAAACCAACTTTGGACAGAATTAACCTGTAAGGATATGTTGTAACAGTTCAGTGTTTTCTTTTTACTTGTGAAAATGCAAATACATGGCAGTATTGACACACTTCAGGATCATTAATTTTTCTCGTCAATTATTTCTTTGGGCAGTGAATCATGGGAAGGTGCATCTAAAAAGACCAGACCAGAAGGTAACCCACTTTGGGATGTATTTAAAGCGTTTTTAGACGCCCTTGTGAAATTCTGGTCCGAATGAACTTAAGGTATAGTCTCAAACCTTGCTATTGCTGAGTGAGCAAAGAGTAGTGTACCTGTCAGATCATTTGTGATTTCACTTGGGTGATCCTTATTTAATTGTGTGGTCTTTCACTAGATTATCCCTTTCTCTTTGCCCATACTTGACATGGCTCATACGTTACTTCATCTTTTCGTCGATGATCTAGATTACTGGTTATCATCTCTAGTCATCAACTTTACTGTTTGCGAAATTTTCAAACTTTTCTGTGGCATCCATGTTTTAGAGTGACATTGCTGAATTAAGATGGGTTGTGCGATCATTGCTCGTAGACGTCAATGTAAAAGTAGTTCAGGTCACTTTCACAGTTGGTGCCTTGTTTGACAAATGATAGGAAAATGACTTGTTATTTTCGAAGATATCGTTGTAGTCGTGAAATAGCGGGATGGTCTTTCTCACATTTGCACTCTAGTAATAGTTATGAGTTATTATTGTGACATTTGAGGGATTCACATTCTCTTGTAAATACTTGTGATCCGATTCTCCATCCATCCAGAGTCAGATGTTTCCAAGTACCATTTTTGGCGAGTTTACAGTTGGCTACATTTCAGTTTAACGACGAAATTTACGGCCATTTCGACATCTCTTAGAGTGGTGACTGTTTCCCAAATCAACTACAAGTACGGCCGCGAAATGGTACTGGCTTTCAAAACCCAAACAAACTCCTTTTCAAGTGTGTGGGTGAAGTGGATCAACAAAACCGTTGGTGTTCAGTAGACAGAGCCTCGAGCGTTGAAACAATAGAAAGCAAAGAAAGTTGATTGTCATCGAACCTTTCACAAGAGTGACCAACTCTGAACTAGCTCTCAATATCAACACCAAAAGCACCCTTACCAAGACTAGAACCATGTCAACAAGCGGGAATGTTTTTTTTTGAGAAGAAACAAATACAAGCGGGAATTTACTTACAATGAACATGTGAATGAACATAGAATATTAGCTCATGAAATTTTCTAGGTAACCGTCTACTCTTTCTGTCTAGAGGACAGAGCCCCGAGAGCTAACCTAAAGGTCTAAGTGGAGGCATTTCTCTGCTAGTCCTACTCGTTCTTTTCGCTTGTTTTTCTGGCCTCACTTGACCGGGCTGTATTTCTTGACTTGAGTGACCTCTCGGGTTACAACTGGACTGTGAGGGCTGCTTATAGCTCCAAACCAAAGAGGAATCCTTTGGCTTGCAAACCAATGCTTTGATTGAACCGGTTTCAGTTCCTCTGGTTCTTAGTATTTTCAAATTGGAACCGGAACTGTTTGAGACAGTCCGGTTCAGTTTTTGTCCTGGTTTTGACTTTTCTTATCAACGCGGCTTTTACAATATTTTTTTTTACCACAATTTTCTGGTTCGGTGGTTTTTATGCCCACCTCTAGGTGTCCGTGTGTCACTACGATTAAGACGATGCGTGCATATGGTAACAAAATTTCGACATGTGGATCTGCTTTAGTCACTCTATAAATCATTTGGATAAGGGTGATGGTAGAGACTCTATCTACTTAAATCATATTTTGTAGACCGTATGATTTGACGTTGATGATTGGAATACTTGTTTAAATTATTGAATAACGTATCCAACCATCAACTGTTACATCATGTGGTTTACCGAACTTGGTCTAAATCATTAAAGAAGGTATCCAACCATCAAATGCTAAAGGGACTCTCTTAAAATGAGACTTTCTTCCATGTCATAGTTTAACATTAATCCCCGTGTCAACATTATGAAATGTTGTGACAAAAACATGAGGTGTCAGAGAATTCATAAAGCATTTAATTATAAGAGAGTATCTTTAGCATTTCTCATTTTCATTTTAATAGTAGTTGACTTCTTTGTTTTCGCTTTATTTATTTATTTGTATTACTTATTTAGTTTTTGCTTGGATGACAATCATCTATAAATCGTCCTCGAAATAACAGCTCCTTTTTTTTTATGTTACAAAATAACAAGCAATGAGCACATGGATACATCACTCATGCATGCATATATACAATTATGTGTGCCTCTATAGTTTTAAAGGAAAACTAATGAAAAATGATTGAAAACTTTGAATTTTAAAGATAAGGACAAAATAAAGGGTAAAGTGAATAGTACCAGAATTGACTTTTTATTGTAAATATGTGGTTTTTCGTTAAAGTGAACAATATTGGGGGCTTTTCGTTAAAGTTCCCTAGTTTTAATTAACTTACGATTAATAACTCACCCCATTAACGCGAGAAATGCATATCACCTGATCACTTTCGTATTCCAGCTAAAGTACACAATAAATAGAGTTCGTTTGGATATGTTTTTAAAATGACTGAAAGCATTTTTTGTGAAAATGTTTTTGGAACCAATCCTTAGTAAAAATGCAAGTAAATTCTGGAAAAGTACTTAAAGTGTTTCCTGGAAGAAGCACATAACTGGTGCTTCTTGCATAAAGCACTTTAAGTGCTTTTGGAACCAAAAAACATTTTCTCTAAAAGCACTTTTAGTTATTTTAAAAGCACATTCAAACAAGCCCTAGTCTCTCCTCTTGCCCTTTGGTCATTGACTTAGTTCTCCTTAACAAAGTTGATTAATTTTATTTATTTTTATTTTTTTCAAAAGGGGGACAACTGGTGGCAAGTCACGGTTATTCATCCCTTTCGGAGACCGGAAAGACTCACAGAAGCATTTTAGCCTCTCCTTGGTCACAATTAAGCAGACTCACCAACTTAGAGCCTCGAATCCATTAAAAAAACAAAAAAGAATTAGATAGAAGAAAGAACCTTGCTATAGAATGCTATAGAGCTTTCTTCTTATAACAAAGATGCATGTGGTTGAATATGGTATTTGGTTTCTACCCATGTGTCCCGCATTCAAAATTCTCTTATCTTCTAAATTATTGTAATAGTTTCAAACTTTTTATTTTCTCTATAATAATAATAAATTTAATATATATATATATATATATATATATATATTATTCTTGACATCAGGAATAAAGTGGTGGTTAAGGAGGTAAGATTCGGAATGTTATTGTGTAGTTTAATTACGTCTCGATAAAACTTTGCATAGGATAAAATCATGATTAACTCTCTTACCTAGGTCTCGGAGTCTCTACACTAGTTGTCGACATTACATGCATTTTTTTTAAAAAATTTCTTCAATAATACATAGCATAGTGATATAGAAAATGAAAGACCAAGATTGAAATAAAAGATCTAACAGTTGTGGAAACCAAATCTAATACCTAATAGCACTTACAAATGCTACATAGCAAATTGAAGCCAGACTCATACTTTGAGCTGAACTTCAATAGAACCATATAACTTTTGCCTTGAGAACAATACACTACGCCAGACTTAAATGCATACATACAATTTCATTATGGTTATTGTTGTTGTTATATTGTCTAAAACCATGGTTCATGAGATCTGAGCTTGAAATATTCTAAATCTAAACACTGAAACTCGTTAAACTAAATAACTGTAGAAATACAATCCCATTAATATATTATTATTTGGAAGGTAGCTCTAAAGTCATTTGAATCTAAAATATATAGATACATGCACCATATCACATAAATAATTGAAATTTAGGAAAATATAACGGTATATACGTAGTGAAGGGAATATTATTTGCCTGTTAATGTGTTTATCATATTAAATTATTCACTTACTTTCGTATATAAGCTAAGCTAATGATTGACGGTGAAAACCAAGCAAGGTTGGATGGGGACACTTCACGTGCAAAGATTCAACATCACAATCACAACGGATTGGTATTTGGTAACCTCCTAATCCACATGCACTTTATATTTTTTATATATATGTTTTTAAATTTTATATGCGAGAGAGAGAGAGAGAGAGAGAGAGAGAGAGAGAGAGGGAATGCATCTCTGATTCTCTGGTAGCTGGTAGATGCGTATTCAAGGCTCTTTGCATGGAATCCTAAGCTGCTGCTTCTGTGCTGTACGCATCGTTTTGATCGTCTTATAGGAATTTCTCTGTTTTATTAGGCTTAGCAAATATATACATCTCTACTCTACGCGCACTTGGTGGGACTGAACACAATCGAAGAGGCCAAAACATTATTCTAAACACATTTCAATCAATTATTAGATCCAAAAGAAAAGATATATCCATTAAGGATAAAGCTAGGCTGCTCATATTGGCTATCATCTACCGTAAAGGGTTAAGAGATACCGAGAGTAGACCAGGATTTTTTTATTTTATTTTATCTTTTTATGAAAAAATAACTTTGGTTAAAGAGAGAAATCTCTAGTACCACCACTACTACAAAAGGGTGTTATAGTGTCAGTGGATGATGTCGCTTTAATCTAACATGGTGTCGGATTAGGCAGTTGCGACACTAACTAAACATGACGTCGGATTTACTGTCGCTTATAAGCGTCATAAAGTATTTTTTAAATACTGGTGTAGCTTTTAAGCAACATAAATTATATATATATATATATAATTATATATATATATATATTAAATTAAATTTTATATCCCTAAAAACTATAATAATTATATATATATATTAAATTAAATTTTATATCCCTAAAAACTATAATAATTATATATATATATTAAATTAAATTTTTAAAAATTGGTGATCATTGGATTGGCTTAAATATACATACGATTCAATTTCTTAAGTGTTATACATACAAAATAAATAAATTTAAATCTACTTAATATATATATATATACACACACCATTGAACTTGATCGGATACGAATTCTATGAAACTAATTTCGACAGTTATAAACGAAAAATCACGATTTAACGGTTATTTTAACTTCGATTTTAATGATTTTTTACAGCTACGCTCCTTGACCCTATATTAATACAATGAATGAATTCGATCTTCAATTTAAAATATTTACACGAGTGGATACCACAAAATCTTATGTTATACTTAATGAAAGTATAAATAAACTTTAAGTGTTAGTCAATCTATTGTTTTGATGGGATACGAATTCTCCGAAACTAATTTCAACGATCTCAGCCGTCAAACTTGTTTGTATATGCTTCGAGATCACATCAGCAAAAAATCACAAAAAACAAACATTCAGAGATCAAGTAACGGGACAAAGCTTTTCGATGGTTATAAACGAAAAATCACGATTTAACGGTTATTTTAACTCCGATTTTGATGATTTTTTACAGCTACACTCCTTGACCCTATATGAATTCGATCTTCAATTTAAAATATTTACACAAGTGGATACCACAAATCTTATGTTATACTTAATGAAAGTATAATAAACTCAAAGTGTTAGTCAATCTATTGTTTTGATGGAATACGAATTCTCCGAAACAAATTTCAACGATCCCAACCGTCAAACTTGTTTGTATATGCTTCGAGATCACATCAGCAAAAAATCACAAAAAATAAACATTCAAAGATCAAGTAAC